CCTTCGCGTTTCGCGGTCTCGCCGCTACCAGCCCGTCCGATCACACATCCTCGCCGCAGCACTTGTAATTCATCAAGGCGGGCTCTAACCATCTACGCGATAGAGCCTCCGACGTGCAAGATCCGTGAACGTGAGTCCGCACGGCACTGCTTGAGGCAGAACGCCGCAAGTATCTGATCACGCTTCAAACCGGAAAGCCGCGGCGCGTCGCTCAAGCCGACGCCGCCCCTCCATGCGCAAGTACTCTGATGAGTATCGCTTAACCGATCCTCATCCCCAGCGGCGTGGCCTGGGCCTCACTGGCCGATTTACCCCCCTAGATGGGGATATAGGTCGCTCCCCTCGGGTTTCGAGGGGTGCATCCCCAACTGGGGTGGCAATTTGGTGGGGTTCTCGAAGGGGATGGAGATGGGGATGGGGATCGGTCAAACACTGACCTGAAGCAGGGGCGAAGCCCTCGAAACCGCCCACCTCTGCCACCGGCCCCGCCGCGCCCGCCGGGCGGGTCCAAGCCGATGTCCCGCACGGGCCCCCAAGAGTCAACCAGCCGCCTCCTCGAACGTCGTGCCCTGCAGGAGCGCCAAGGATACGGTCAACCAGTACAGTAAGGATGCGATGCAAGGATGCAAGGGCCTGGGACGCCCATTTCGAGGCTCTTCGAGCGGGGCGCGGCCAGCGAAAGCGGCGAAGGATGGACCGAGGAGGCAAGGATGGAAGGGTGCCCTTGGGAAGGTTGCCCATCCTTACTAGGCGGGTTGACTGTATGTCGCGCGACTTGAGGCCCCATCGCCGCTGAGCCTCCATCGATGTTCACCAGGCGCTGCCCCAAGGAGTCGAAGAGGCCTGGAACGTCCAGACGGAGTCCTTCTGCATGTCTTTAGATCTGCGAGCTGCGAGGCGTGACCGGACTATCTTGGTAGTGCAAACATGTGGCATCAGTGCACACTTCAATTCGTCCACCCAGCGAGCGTCGATCAAGTTTCGCAAGCCTCGTCGACACTGCTGGGAAATGCCTTGAAGCCTGCCCAATGCCGAAGCTCTTCGAGTCTGGCAGCCGGCACCGCCTCGCGCTGTTCCATCATCTCCACCTTCGTCAACTTATGACCTTCACGCTCTAAAACTGTATTCCGTGGGCTGTCCGCCTGGCTGTGACCAGTGCGTCGTCTGGATGCTCGGCGGGCCCTGTCACGCAGGGCCCACGCAGATACTTCCAAAATGAAGCGGCGGAAATAATCGATGGGGCTGCCGTCGTGACGCCCGATCCACCACTTGACGAGGCACCCAGTGGGCATCGATCGTGAGATAGAGCAGCGCATTCATCACCGATCATGGGTCTGCTGGGGCATGGCGCGGAGGCAAACGCCTCTAGAACATCGTAGTAGTCAAGGACGGCGTTGCCGCTGCAGCGCGCGGCCACATATCGCCTGACCGAGCGCCCCCTCGCCGATTGTCAAAAACGCGTTCTTGCCGAATACCGCCTCCGCCAAACGCCGCCAGAAAGCGATGTCCAAGCCGCTGTCGCGGCGTTTCGGATCGATGAGGTGTGGCTGGTGCCGCGAGATCCGGCGACGCCGTTCTGCGATCTGCGCGCGCTGCCCTGGCGCCTTGATCTTCCGAGTGGTGCCCAGACGCCCCAATGCGATTGGTCTCGTCGGTGGCAAGACCACCCTCGCCGTCCACGAAGAACGCGGCCGCGCCTCCTCCTCCTCCTCCTCCTCCTCCTCCTCCTCCTCTTCCTCCTCCTACTCCTCTCTCTCCTCCTCCTCCTCCTCATCCTCGTACTCCTCCTTCTCCTCCTCTTTGACCTTCTTCTCCTCCTTCTCCTCCTCCTCCTCCTCTTCCTCCTCCTCCTCCTCCCTGCTCCTCCCTCGACCTCCATCCTCTTCTGTCCTCCTCCGTCCTCCTCCGTACTCCTCCTCCTCCTCCTCCTGCTCCGCCTCTTCCGCCTCCCCAATCCCTTTGCCTCAACCTCCTCCTTTGTCTTCTTCTTTTGGAAGTCTTCCTCCTCCTCCTCCTCCTCCTTCTGCTCCTCCTCCTCCGACCCGCCTGTGTTTCTTTTCATCGTCTTTCTCCTCCTCGTCCTCCTCCTGTGTCTCCTCTTCCTCCTCGTTCTCTTTCTCCTCCTCCTCCTCCTCGTCCATATTTTCCTGTTCCTGTTTCTCCTATAATATATTCCTCTTCCTCATTCTCCTGTTTCCCCCTCGTCTTCTCCTCCTCCTCCTCCTCCTCCTCCTCCTCCTCATCCTCATCCATCATCATCTTTCTACTCCTCCCCCCTCCTCCTCCCCTCCTCCTCCTCCCTCCTCCTCCTCCTCCTCCTCCCTCCTCCTCCTGTTTCGTAGGTTAGACTTCGTCGTCGCCGTTATCCTCCTCCTCCCCCTTCTCTTCCTCCTCCTCCTCCTGATCTCCTCCTCCTCCTCCCCCTCCTCCTCCTCCTCTCCTGTCGCCTCCTCCTCTTTCTTCTCCTTCTCTTTTTCCTCCTCCACTTACTCTTCCCCTTTCTCCCCATCTTCCTTCTCCTCGTCCTCCTCCTCCCCTCCTCCTCCTCCTCCGTATTATCCTCCTCCTTCGTTTCCTCGTAATCCTCCCCTCCTCCTCCCCTCCTCCTCCTCTTTCTCCTCCTCCTCCTCCTCCTCCTCTTTCTTATCCTCCTCCTCTTTCTCCTCCTCCTCCTCCTCCTCCTCCTCCTCCTCCTCCTCCTCCTCCTCTCCCTCCGTCACCTCCTTCTCCTCTCTCTCTCTCCTCCTTCTCCTCCTCCTCCTCCTCCTTCTCCTCCGTCTCCTTCTCCTCCCACTCTCCTTCTCTTTCTCTGTATATCTTTCCCCTCCTGCTCAAACTCCTCCTCCTCCTCCTCCTCATTATCCCTCTCCTCCTCCTTCTCCTGCCTCTACAAAAACAAAGGCCCGATCGATCAGTGCGACAATTACCGCCCTATCAGTCTTCTGTGTGTCATGTACAAGCTTTTGGCCACACTATTGTTGGGGAAACTGCAAGACGCCGGGGCCGAGAGCCGATTAACAAAGACACAATTCGGCTTCAGGAGACAAAGGGGCACCTCCGATGCCATCCATGCCGTGCGCAGGCATCTTGAGACAGCACATGCGGAATGGGGAGGTGCAGTAGCTATGCTTGCTCTTGATTGGAAAAAAGCATTCGACTCGATCAACGTGGCTGCTCTGTTAGACGCATTCCACATATTTGGAGTACCTCAAAACATGCTTTCTCTCATTGGTAATATATACAAAAGCAAACAGTTTCGCGTGGCAGACGGGCGACACAAATCACGAACCAGAAACCAATGTTCGGGAATTGCTCAGGGTTGCCCTTTATCTCCATTCCTGTTTGTGATGGTGATGAGTGTGATTATCAAAAACGCAGAAGACAAGTTGGATGAGGATGCTGCCAGAGCATTATCTGCCGGGGAGTTTTCTGTTCTTCTTTTGTATGCTGACGACACTCTCCTGGTTGGGCGTCACGAAGGACAACTACAAGACATGCTGAACGCAATTGCACGAGCAGGAGCAGATGTTGGAATGTAGCTACTTTGGGATAAATTTCAACTGACTCAAACAGGATGCGACCTTCAACATTTGGACCCAAGTGGTAACATCATCCCGGCGACAACACAAATGAAATACTTGGGCGCCACGATCAACAGATCCGTCAAAATGAAACAGGAGTTGGTCAAACGACTTGGAGGAGCCTGGGGGGAATTCCAGAGATACACAAGGGCCTGGAAACACACGTCCATCAGTATAGAACGAAAGCTGAACGTATTCGGGGCACTGGTTACGACGAAAGTTATGTATTCTTTGAATTCTGCCTGGCTCAACAAAAGCGACAGACGACGATTAGATGGGTTCCAAGCGCGTTGACTACGACATATCCTGAACATTCCTCATTCTTATATTTCAAGAGTGTCCAACACAAGTGTGCTACAACAAGCTGGGGCCACACCATACAGTGCCCAACTACTCCAGCATCAGCTTATGTGGTTTGGAAAACTTGGCCGCAGCAGCGACACGGACGTACTCCGGAAAACAACTTTCCAGCCTGGTAGTTTGAAGCCGATCACTGACTCCCTTGTACGGAAGCTTGGGCGCCCCAGACACGAGTGGGCGAAGTGTCTACACAATAAAGTACGAAGTTGTTTTGAGTCTGATTATGTTCTGTCCCAATGCGTCGCGGACAAGCAACAATGGTGCCGCTTCGTTTCAGAGTTCGTTGAAGCAGAGGAGTGAGAACCAACATCAGTAATATAAGCGACTTGTGGCTGATATTAATGCAATCAACTGTCCTTCTTCGTCATCTCTCTCCTCCTCCCCTCGTCCTCCCGGCACGCATTTGGCGCGTCGTCGCTGTCTTGTCGCGCGTTTGGCGCGTCTCCTATCCGCCATCTAACGCGTTTGGCGTTGCCGCATGCTCGCCGTGTTCTCTTGCCCACGCGCGTTTGGCGTATGGCTGCTTCACTTCACTTCCTCCTTCTCCTCCTCCTGCTCCTGCTCCTGCTCCTGCTCCTCCTCTTCCTACTCCTGCTCTTCCTCCTCCTCCAACTCCGCCTCCTCTTCCTCCGCCTCCTCCTCCTCCTCCTCCTCCTCCTCCTCCTCCTCCTCCTCCTCCTCCCCTCCCCTCCTCCTCCTCCTCCTCCTCCCTCCTCCCTCCTCCTCCTCCTCCTCCTCCTCCTCCTCCTCCTCCTCCCCCCTCCTCCTCCTCCTCCTCCTCCTCCTCCTCCTCCTCCTCCTCCCCCTCCTTGTCCTCCTCCTCCTCCTCCACCTCTCCTCCTCCTCCTCCTCCTTCACCTCTCCTCCTCCTCCTCCCCTGCTCCTCCTCAACTCCTCATCCTCCTACTGCTCCACCGTTTCCTCCTCCTCCTCCTCCTTCTCCCCCTCCTCCTTCTCCTCCTCCCCCTCCTCCCTCTCTGGAGGGGGGGGGAGGCTGCGGCAGGCATCGGCACGGGCAGGAGGGCGCGGCGGCGGGGCACGCGCCAGCGCGGGCGCTGCCTCGGCCAGACGCTCCACCATCTCCTCCCCGCCCGCTGAGCCTGAGCCCATCCGGCGGCAGGGCGAGCGAGGAGGGCCAGGCACTCCATCATCTCCCCCCCGTCCTTTTTCCTCATTCGCGGCGATGACAGGCGTTGTGTGGGGTGGGTGGGGGGCGGGGGGGAGCACAACGTGACGCCCTCGCCTCCCACCATGACAGACCAGTGCTGTTCGCTTTTTTCGGCAGAGCTGAGGGTGGGGAAACACTTTCCGGAGCCCGTCCAGCGGGAGCTGGGCGGGGGGGGGGGCGCTCCACCGTCGTCTCCTCGTCCAGCGGGGGGGGCCAGCGGGGGGGGCCAGGCGCTACGCCACCTCCTCCCCGCCGTCTGAACCCGAACCCTTCCAGCGGGAGGTGGGCGGGGGGGCTCCATCGGATCGGAGGACAGGGGGGATAGCCAAGGGGGGGTTAGCGATGCAGCCCACGTGGCTGGTTTCCCCCGCGCATGTCTGCGCGGGAGGCGCCGCTGCATCGAGGAGAGAGACTGGCGGCGGGGCCAGCACCAGCTGCACGCAGCAGATTTCGCACGCCCCCCGTTCCCAATCCCCGCCGTCTCGTCTGACCCAAGCGGAGGGGGTGCCTGTAGTGCGGACGCGGCCGTGAGAAGCCCTCGCAAACGACCCAACCCTGAAAGCCCGCGCGCGGGATATAACTGGGGACCCTGGGCACCCTGAACGCAGCAGTTTCTTTGGCGGCCGCGGCGACGCAGGCTCGACGCTTTCCACCATCCGATGTTGGCGGGGCAATACAGGCATAAACCCGAACTGCGTATAAAATAGCACCAGCACTCTGGGCGCAGGTGGTCTAACGAGATTCCTCGTCCCTCTTCCCCCGAAAAAACCTTCCCCAATGGGGAGGGGTTTACCCCTCCCCTTACTCCCTTCCCCTGGTCTTTTGGAAGGTTCCGCGAGGTGTCAGGGCCACCAAGACGGCCTCGGCGAGGAAGCCAACATCATTGATTGTACCATGGTTTTGGCCCCTATTTTGGCCTCGTTGGGGGGGGGGGCTGAACGTCACACCATCTCCTCCTTCAATCGATGGCCTTCAAGATGGCCCCAAGAGGTTTTTCCAGGGCTCCCAAGAGGGCCCCGAGAGGGCCCCAAGATCCATAAAAGGGCCCCGAGAAAGCTCCAATACCCTCCCAAAGAGCCCCCAGGAGAGCTCCAAGAGGCGATGTTGAGGGCTCCTGGGCAGAGGCCGAAATCAAGAACCCCCCATCTTTTGATCGATGCTGCCCTAGATGGCCCCAACAGGCCTTCCAGGGCACCAGCCGCAGCACCAGCAGAGGCAGCAACAACATCTGCAGCACCACCAGCAGCAGCAGCACCAGCTGATGGCTGAGAAATCCCACCAGCCCTTTGGGCGACAGGTGGTCTGAGGGATCGTGAGGAAGAAATAAAGCAGAAGCACCTGGCAATATGCTGTGGATTGGAGGCGGAAATATGTGTTCACGCGCAACTGGTGATATCTCAGCGTTCCATGTTTCCTTTCTCATCCTCCAACTCCTCACCACCACCACCGATCTCCCCCCCTAGCATTGCCCGACTAGCCGGGCAGACGAGAAAATAACATCGGGATCACACTCGTTGGATCCCTACACCTCCTCTTCCTCTTCCTCCGCCTCTCCCCCTCGCCCCCACGCGGCCCCCAGGGATGGCCCGAAGAGGCCTTCAAAAACCACCCCCTTGCTCCCAGAGATCTCTGGGTTCATCCTGCGTGCTCGCTTTGTTTTCCTAGATGTGTCCCTTCGTCCCTTTTCCCGTCAACTTTCGTGGGCAGGTCTTCTGACTGGGCTGATGGGCCGACAAGGGAAATGCGTCCCCGTCCATATATATATATATATATATGTATGTGTGTGTAGTGATACATGTAAGGGAATTACACATATATATATATGTATGTATATATGTAAAACACTCACATACACTAGCAACCATGCATGCCAACGTACACACCAACACGAACACAAACAGGAATTGGAGCAGTAACAAACCACATACACACATCTTATAGATAGAACAACATACAAAAGAGAGAAGCGGGGAAAGCGAGAGGAAATAATCAAGTGGGCCTGGGTCTCTCGATCGTCAAACGAACAAAAGGAAGACCAGCTGGCTGCCCGACAATAGTATGTAGATGATGGGCTAGCCACGTCTCGTCCCCCTCCTCCTTCCCCAGGTGTGAGATATACGCTGTACATCTTGTGCATTGTGCATAGCATGACTGTAGCATAGCGAGCGTACTGTTACGTTTTGGCCCAAACCCTTTAGGGCCCTTGAGTCGAGCGCGCCAGTGGTGTGAAGAGATCATCCGATGTTCTTCTGGCTGTTCATTCTTATTGTTGCCATCAAAGACTTCGGGGGCTTTGATCAATTCATATTGGTAGCAGAGCCTGGTCAGCCAGGCTCGCGCTTCGACCTTCCATATCTCGGCGGCAAGTCTCCAGATTTCGTCGCCACCTCCATAAGCTTCGACCCAAGGGCGGATCTCATAGACCGCCTGGTCAGTTTTTCGTCAGAGTCCACGTTTGATTTCACAGCCGATCTCACAGTTGATCGCCCAGAACGGGGCAGTTTCGATTTCGTGCAGCACGCTTCGGACAGCAACCCCTTGCAGCTTCAGTTCAGCAGGATGTCCAATCCAATGGCGGACATGCTACCAGAGCGAGGAGTTCCACAGTTCGATGGCACGCTCAGCAAATGGAACAAATACGAGAAGCGGGCGATGATTTTAGTTGCGAAGCGCACACTGGAGAAGAAGGAGAGCGAAGCAGCTCTCATGCTAAGCGCAGGTCTCACAGGCGAAGCTTGGGACGAAATGGAGGATCTCTCAGCGGACGAGCTTATCAAACCCGCGGCGAAACAATTCATGGCAAGATTACGGAATCGTTTCAATATGGACGACAGGACGGAGCTCGCGGATGACTTCGAGGAGTATTTCTCCAAGCTCAAGCGGTACAAGGGCGAGACACTGTTCGCCTACATCTCAAGAAGTGCGCGCTGCAGAGCGCAAACTCAGGAAGAACGACATCGAGCCGCCGGCGAAGATCCGAGGCTGGCTCACGCTACGACGAGGAGGATACAGCGCGGACCAGAAGGCGGTAATCATGTCGGTAGTTGGTAAGGATATCATACAGGATAAGGTTATTGAGGCGTTGGAGACAACGTTCGGGCAGGAGAGCATCATGCACGAGCCGGATCACGCACGGAAGCAGTATTTCGTCGACGAGGACACAGCAAAATACTACGACGAAGCGTTCTATACTGGCGAACCGGAGATGGGGCCGGATGACTACGACCAGACGTACTGGGCGGAGGATGACGAAACACGGTACGACTGCGACGAGAGCTACTACCACCGCGAGCCCAACACAGCGCAAGAGCTTGACCTGGGCGAGCACGACGAAGTCTGTGCAGCCTACGCGGACGCCAAGAACCGGTCCAACGACCTGAAGCTAGCCGGTGGTTTCTACCCGGTAGTGTCGGGGATGGACAGAACCCCCTTTAGTAAAACGTGGTTTAGTGAAAACGACCTGAGGCCCAAACCTGGCGGGCGCAAGCCTGGAAAATAACGGCCACGGCGCCCTCTCGAGAACCGAAAGCGGACAATTCACTAATCGACGTGTCACTGTTGGGGGTTCTGTCCGCCCCCGATAGTGGCGATGGTAGGCGGAAGCTCAGGTTCGGCCGCTGCATCAGCAGGAGGCTCGCACGGACGAGGCTGGTCAAGCAGCAAAGGCACCAAAGGTGACTACCTACCAGACCACCCCAACCCAACCCGAAGGCCCGAATTTCGGGTTGGGGGGGGGTATGGGTTCCATGCGTGTTTTTTCGATGTTCCCCGACCCCCCCCCACTGGAAATGGAGGGCAAATTGAGGCATTCGGGTTGGGTTGGGGTGGTTTGGTAGGTGGAGACAAGTCTAAAGGAAGAACGGGCAGCCCAAAAGGATCATCCCCTCCAGGCGCACACAGCAGACCACGACCTACGGCATCGGCCCCAATGGGAAAGGCAAGGGCAGCTACGAAGCCAGTACCAACATCAACACCATCGGCCAACTGCCTACGATGCGGCAAGCCCGGTCACTGGGCTAGGGACTGCACCGAGCCACCCAACAAGAAGCGGGTCCACACCGACGACAGCTTGATGGTCGATGAGGTTTACTGGGACGACAAGTGCCATAGTAAGGCCAACACCAGCGCAATACCAGCAATCAACGGAGTCATGGACTGTGGAACGACGACCCTCATGTCCGGCTCAGAGACGATCAAGGACTCCGTGAGGGACTGCAGGCAGAAGGGCTATCCCATCGAGGGCCTCAAATTCTACAAATGCCGACGGAATTTTCGGCTCGGTAACGGCAAGATCGAATACTTGCAGTGGCGTGGCACAATACCGGCCAGCTTCAAGCAGAAGTCAGGCACACTCTACATTTACGTGGTACCGGGACGCACGCGCATCCTATGTCCGAGGCCGTTGCTGGAAGTGTTCGGAGTTCAGGTCGACTATGCCAAGCAAACAGTTGCGTGGAACGGCGGCGAGCTCGAAACTGCAACGCTATCATCTCAAGGACACTGCACGCTGGACCTACTAGAGGAGTTGGACGGGAAGACGAGTCACCACACGAACGACGTCGAGCACGAGCCCGTCGATGCAGCGCAGTTCCTGGACCCCAGCAACGAGACCATGAGCGGCATCGAGTTTCTGGATAATGCCTACCTGGCGGACTCCACCGAGAACGGCGAACAGCAGGAGCAACCACAACAGCGACCTCATACAGGAGGCTGTTCCCGACGCGTAGTACAAGTTAGTTGCTGCAAGGCCTACATGAAGCAGTTGCAGTGGCAGCAGCATTTCTCAAGTGGCAATAAGTGACTCACAACGACAGCCATTGAGCCAGTCGACACCACGCTGTCGGAGCCACGCTGGTGCCTCCTGTCACCTACGGCGGACGAAGTCAACTTCAGCACCGACGATGACTCTGAT